CCCCTGCCCGGCTGGCGGCGGGTCTCGGCCCCCAGCTCCGCCGCCCCGGCCGGACCCCGGCGGGAGCGGGAGCAGGACGACGCGTCCCCGACGCCCACCAGCGTCAATTACCACTTCACCCGCCAGTGCAACTACAAGTGCGGCTTCTGCTTCCACACGGCCAAGACCTCCTTCGTGCTGCCCCTGGAGGAGGCCAAGCGGGGGCTGGCGATGCTCAAGGAGGCGGGTGAGTCCCTCGGGGAGCGGCCGGGGGGAGCCCAGCCGGGGGGAATGCGCGGCGACCGCGTCCCGGCAGGACCAAATGGCATCGAAGAAGTTTTGTCGGGCGGTGTCCCCCGCTAGCGCTGCGGAAGGAGCCGGGAATAAGCAGGCAGAGGTTCACAGCATCTTCCTTTGGTCCTTTTCTAGGAATGGAGAAAATAAATTTCTCCGGAGGAGAACCGTTTCTTCAGGACAGAGGCGAATTTGTAGGCAAACTGGTCCAGTTTTGCAAGCAGGAGTTAAAGCTACCAAGTGTCAGCATTGTTAGCAACGGCAGCCTGATTAGAGAGCGGTGGTTCAAGAAGTACGGTAAGGGAAAACCGGCGTGCGCAGAAGCACGGGCGGGTTTGGGAGCCTCCTCGGGGCAACCTCACCGAGAGACATTTTGGTGCAAGTGGGAGATGGTTTGTGAGGGGTTCATTTACAGTTAACACAAGCCAAACGTAAATACCAGTGAAATATTGTTAATCGTATGTTGTGAACATAGACAGTTTGTACTATTGCTTTTTTTGGTATAATAGTATAACAAAATAATAGCTGAGACTATCTCCGTAATGCTGAGGACACACACGAACACAAAATAGGTGTTCTGCTGCTGCCGCCGTGGCGTTTGTGGTTCATGTGATAACTCCACAGAACTATATTTACATGGCACTTTGTGACAGATCACAAGGAAGTGGAAGTGGGCACGGTCCTGCCAGCTTTTACCCAAGAGACTGACTATTAATCAATTTTTAAAATTGTTTTCAGGTGAATATTTAGACATTCTGGCAATTTCATGTGATAGTTTTGATGAGGATGTCAACGTTTTGATTGGCCGTGGTCAAGGCAAGAAGAACCATGTGGAAAATCTGCATAAACTGAGACAGTGGTGCCGAGAGTATGCTGTTGCTTTCAAAATAAATTCAGTGATCAACAGATTTAATGTTGAGGAAGATATGAATGAGCAGATCAAGGCACTCAATCCCGTGCGCTGGAAGGTAAGAAACTGGTGTATCCCATGGGTTTCCTGTTCAGAGAAAAGTAATAGCGAAGTCCTGGAGTTGTCTGAACCTCTAGTGACCTCAGTCAGATTCCAGCTCCAGCTGGGGCTGGTGCTAGCTGACTTCTTGTCAGTGTTACATGGTATTGAGACAGATTCTGTTTCTTTCTGCATTTAAATGGAACCCAACATGTCAAGAATCTTTTTGTTGTTGTTGTTGTGATATTTACAGGAAATTACCATTTCAGCATAACTTGATCTAATTTTTTTATGATATTAAAGATAAGATAGAAGGTCTTTAACATTTGAAAATGTGTCATGGTGTAGACAAAATGAGGAAAAGTTAGCGTACAATGATACATTATAGTTAATATAACATTAGCAATGTGTAAGTGTACATTAGACATCGGTGTTCTGTTATAGAGTGTTAGGGGCTAGTATGCATATAGTATGATATTTTCTACTAGAATTGTATTAAATGCATTATCAGTTTGAAGATGGATAGAGATAATGTGACTTACAGATATGGGAGAACTTTTGGAATAATTTCTCATTATTTGTTTCATGGAAATTGGTATACACACATGATTTCCCAGGGAAAAAATATCACTGCAAGTGCAATCTTGGTCCTACTAAAGGAGTGTAAGGAAAATATGACATACATTTTAAATATATTATCAAGCTTCCTGGCCTACTTTTTTGCCAGAGTTACAGAGCATGTTCATGGCAAAGGCATCGTTTTTTCCCCAAAAACCTATTCTGAATATATTTGAGGACTTGGCCTTTAGAAGGAGGCTCTTAAATAGACAAACTATTATATTTTGTGTCTGGGAAGTCATCCCTGTCTTTTCTGTGACCATCTGAAGCTAGTTAAACTTACAGTCACCAATCAGGTTAAAATCTTTAAGAATAAAGATTGAGTTGATAGTCTGCATTGTACATAGCACTTACTGGTATTTATAATACAGCCATACTGCTTGAGGTTCAATCAAAAGTATATTTGAGTTTTGATTATATGTGCCCTTATTAAGACCAGAACAGTTAAGATTTCCGGGGAAACCTGATCAGGAACCATGACACTATAATTACATTTAGAACTATGTAATGTTAATTTGCTAAAAATAAATCTGCACTGTGCCTTTCATGTAGTATTCACTTATCACAAATTGTGTCAGTGTGGCTCCACTGACAGAAAAATTAAAGACATTGCTACTGAGACAACTGGAGGTTCTTGTCATGGTGGCAGTCTCTTATACTCAAGGCAAGTGAAAACATAAAATCTTAACCAGGTGTTTTCTGTCTTCAGGTATTCCAGTGCCTGCTCATCGAAGGGGAGAACACTGGTGAGGATGCCCTGAGAGAAGCAGAGAAATTTGTTATCAGTGATGAAGACTTTGAACAATTCCTGGATCGCCATAAAGATGTCTCCTGTTTGGTACCTGAATCTAATCAGAAGGTAAAATTGAAACTGTCCCTTTGTAACTTTATTTTCAAATAAAGTTGGAAAGATGGAAAGGAACTAAAAATTTTCGTGACAATTAACACTTTCTCTATTAGTATTGGCTTAGAAGAGGTACAGTACAACGTTGTCAGCAACCAGTTTTGTTATGGTGGAAGCCAAGGTTTTTAATTTTCTTTAAGGCTTTTTACTGAGCACTAAGTTATTAACAGAAGAGTAAAAACTCATTAATCCCAGTCCTGTGGAAACCACTGGGAGTTCTCTCACAGCATTGTGTGGGCTTCTGCTCAGTGAGTATGAGCACGGGAAGTGGAGAAACGTTTTTTCCATAGCTGAATGGTGAACTTCGAACCATAATTAAGCCCTTTGGAACTGAATAGCTCTCTTCCTCACCAAGGGACAAGATCCTGAAAAGGCTGAATGTTGATGTAAATGCATAGTTTTCTAATTGAGATTCACCGTGATGTTACCCTATGGCAGTGTCATTGACCTGCAAGAGGTAAGATATCATCCCAGTCAGGATTATATTGGGTATCAAGGAACAAGAACTAGTATTTTTGCCTGACACTGGGTACTCTTGCCCACAATAAAGTTACAATTTTAACACTGTCTATCTGAACTCCTTTGGACTGCACATTTGGGCTCTTGATTCACAAGCAGACTTCAGAGCCCAGCAGTTAACTCGATGAGCTGCTATTCAGTTTACAAAACTCAAGTAAAGGACTTCAGTGCCTAAGGGTGGAGCCCAGGGCATTTTGTAAGATGCCTACAGACCCTATACATTGGTATGAGGAGAGTTTGAAGACTCACTGTTAAGAAAGTTTATGAACTGAGTGAGGAGATAACTAAGTTGAACCAAGTTCAGGAATGCCTTACAACTTGATCTCGTGTTCCTTTTCTCCTCACAGTTTAAGGCTCTCCATTTACAGTTTACTTCTTAATGTATGGAGAGCTCAAGTGAGAAGTCAGGGTTGCCTTTACTGTTAAGACATAGAAGTGGTACTGTGCAGTCTGTTGTTTAAGGCATTTGATGGGAGAGAGCACTCATTAGAGAAGGTATATTAGATGAGAACCCAGAACTGTTTCTACATGTTCTTCCATGTAAGAAGTCCTACAAAAAAAGAGTATACTTCCCTTAGTAGGTTTGGTTCTGGAAGACTGTTTTTGATTTCTGTTAAACCTCTGTGAAAGATGGACACCAAATTGATCAGATTTCCTGTTCTACACAGCTACCCAGAGAATATTAGGGAGGATCATGTAGGAGATGCCCAGTTAGCTGAGCAAACATGTCTTATTTCAGCTGTTGGCCTATTTCTTGGTGCAGACCTGAGAACTTTTTGAGCTGGGAGATGACCTTTGAGCTGAGAGAAGACCTTTTAGCTGGGAGAACACCTTTGTTTGCTGGGGTGATAAACACTCCATCTTAAACAGTCATGTCTTTTTTTTTTTTTTTTTAATGACATAATCATAGAATCATAGAATGGTTTAGGTTGGAAGGGACCTTAAAGATCATTACAATATGTAAAACAGTGTAAGTTCTGCTAGTGCAGAAGGTAATAGAAAACTTGGATATTATTTAAAATGGCTTTATCCAGTTGGGTACCCACATTTCAGTTAGATGTTTGAGAGATCATATTCCAAGGATTACTGGTTTATTCATGCATTAAATCATGCTAGTAATCCTGTCATTTATTTCTATAAATTTGATCCAAGCTCGATGAAACAGTGTTAAGAAACTACCTGCTTTTATTAAAGATTTGGGTCAGGCTTTGAATGAATAGTTGTTTCAGCCTCGATTTTTCACTAGAATGGAATTTTGGTTTCTATATTAATTTAGTTTTTTATTTTGATCTATTACAGATGAGAGATTCATACCTCATTCTGGATGAATATGTAAGTCTTTGTTTGATACTTGGTATTTGTATGCTAATATATGTATATATACAACTGTGAAAACCAATTCAATTTACTGTGCATTCTATATAATAATTTTACCATGAAGTAAAAGGAATAGCTGTGATTTCTTCCCATCAGAAATATTGAGAACGTGAATATAAGTATGACCTAGGGAGGACTTGCCATCAGGTTGCATGTATAATCATTCCATCGCGAATCTTAAAAGTATAGATGTGTATCTTTGCAGGGCATCTTTGATGGTTTTCTTTAATTTAAAAATACGGAACTTGTCTTGAACGCTAAATTTCAAAAAGCCTACTTAGTTTACATGTAACTGAAGAGCAAACAGTCTTCAGGAATTAGGGTGTGGCTTTGTTCCTGCTAAAATGTGTCCAACCTGAGCTTGAGCCTTCTACAGTGAAACTGTTCATGCAGTTACATAGGCTTTTGTGGGATTGCAGCGCAACTTGTTTAATACTGTAGAAAAATTAAGCTTTTACAAATTGATTTTCTAATGTCTTATCTATTGATGTTCCAGATGCGTTTTCTAAACTGCAGAGAGGGACGGAAAGAGCCTTCAAAGTCTATCCTAGATGTTGGTGTACAAGCAGCTATAAAATTCAGTGGATTTGATGAGAAGATGTTTCTAAAAAGAGGAGGAAAATATGTGTGGAGTAAAGCAGACATGAAACTGGACTGGTAACTCAGTATACTGAGTGAGGGCACGTGCATTATATAAAGAAAATGGTGTGTATATATGTGTGTGTATCTAATGCTTTAAACCACACTTGGTATACAGATTGATATTCAGTATAACTCTATATATGAACGTGTTATATGTTTTCAGAAAGTAGATTATGTTCTTATCTACTGATTGGTTGAATGTTACCAAGTACCTTCAGAGCTTTCATATAAATAGATCTCTGAAAATCAACTTTCTAGTCCATTGTATGAAGGATTTAAGGTCAAACCAATAACATAATATTACACAGGAAAGAGTTTTAAGATGGTACATAAGTGTGCATGCCAGAAAACAAATCAAAACCCGCCCCAATCTCTAATTCATTATAAACAGCTGTAATGACGGATGAGTGGAAACTCCTACCAGGGAGCGAATTCTGCCTCTGTCGTATGGACAGGTGAATTGCAGTTCCTCGCTAGATCACAAGAGGGCCAGCTGGCAGTCCTTTGGAAGCAGCCCCTGCCTTTTTCAGGGCTAATAGAGGGTCAGAATCTAGGCATCACTATCTGCAAGAATATATTTAAAAGGAAATCAAGATGAAAAAATTGGCAATTTTCATTCTTTAAGAGTTAACTGTAAAGTCGTCTGTTGTTCTTCTCCCTCTCCTCCATATACACATTTTGCAGAAATGTTGAGGGATATAATTTTATGTGAAAATGTATTTTTAGTCATGACTGAATATTATATTTGTCCTAAAACATAAAAGTGCATTTTACCCAATGACAAGCAACTTTTTATTTCAAACTGGCAATGGCCTTAGTTCTAACAAATATTTACAGTGAAAATAATGTTTGCATTTTATTAATAACCTCCTCCATTTTCCTTTTAACTGTAAATATTGATTTATTAGTTTTCATGTTTTTCTCTCCCTGTACATACAGTTTTGATGATATTTCTTCTGAAATTAATTAGTCCTATGTGACACACCTAATACGTTTCTCCTGTTGCATTCAGGCTGTGTTATTCACACTTTTTTTAATTTTATTTTATTTTGCTAAGATATGGAATTACAAACAACATAATCTTCCTTGGTTCAGGGATCATTCTTGCTTGCTGGTTACAAATGTGCAGGTATTAAGTAAAATTAATTGGGTTTTGTGGTAGCTGCCTTTGATTTTAAGAGCTGGCAGCATCAACATAAAATAGAGAAAAGTCAAAATCCCCTGCAAAAACAATAACTTAACATGCTGCTCTTGTTCTTGGTTTTCTGACAATTGTTATGGCATTATAATTGCAGTTCTCCAAATTTAACTAGTCCCACCCCCACCCCCACCCCCACAAAGCTCTGTATGAAGGGCACATGGATGAACATTGCACAGAGCACAAGTGAGGTGACACTACTCATTTGATGTAGTCCATTGAACTCAATGCCTGGACTGTCTCACGTGTTTAAATATTTGCAGTAGTTGGGACCTGCAATTACACATTCTTTCATTTTTTCTGATAACTCTAGTTGATTTTTTTAAAGAGTTTTTCAAGAGTTTTGCACTTACCTAATGCATCTTCAACGTTGAGGGGGAAAGCCAGGTAGGAGCTGCTACTTCTAAATAAAGGAAGGTGCATTTCTGAATACACTGTGAAAACGTTTCCATTTATAATTCCTTTGGTTTCTATTTTTACTATTCTAACAGTAAGTATACTGTCTCAGTGGTGCTCTTTTGTCTTTTTGTATTTTGCAATCGCAACACTTCCTAGACACTTACATTTCAGTATTTTTTTTCTTGTATTAATACTAAGTGACATTCAAAATGTGGCCCACACACATTAACCCCACAGTCTTTTTGGCAGCTGTTTCGCTGACCTCAGTTGGAGTTCTGCCTGAGTAGCAACTATGGGCAGCGCAAATTTATGTAACTGTGGGGTTTGACTTCCTCTGCATTCCCATTGCTCAAATGTTAAATCTAGCCTCTTCCTCAGCATCTACACTGCATGACAGAAAAGAAGCATTTTACTTTGCTGCTGGCTCAGTCCCAGCATGGGGAAAGATTTAGTGCATCAATGTACCAGTAAACCTACCAGCTTGCTGCTTCTACAGAAAACGCCAGCTGTATCACAGCACGCAGATGTGAGGTACACAAACTCCCATTCAGATCCAGAAATCCTGCCATTCTTGGCTTTGCATTTTACTCTGTAAATGGCTATTCTTTTGCTGCAGGAGATCCTCTGTGCCTACGGAGGAAGCTGCAGGATAAACAAACTGGAAGTGAAAATGTGAAAATCCTGTAAATAGTGTAAAGACATCGAAGATAGCTTTATCAGAAGGTTTTAAATTCTTACCTTCTTAAAATCTTAAGGATTTTATATCACCTCTTGCTACCATGCACAATTAAGAAAAAGTTTGTCCTTTGTGTGATACTCTGCAAAGGAAATGCCAGTTGTGTGCATAACACAGTTTGACAGACAATCACTGAAATTAATGAATTGGTATTTTCATATGGAAAATTATTTTTTGTATAAAATCTCAAAAATTTTTTTTGCTAGAGTTTGATTAACTTTTTTTTTTTTTTTTTAAATCTATAACCACAGTTCACTTTGAACCAGATGTAGTCCAGATTTATTCTGTAGATGGCCCTAACTTTCAGCATGAAATTAGGAAAATAATACTGAATTCAATAGGGCTACTACCAGGCTTAGAGATTACATGTACATTGTGACCCTGGAGAGTCAGGATTTAAATTTAAGTCCTGTAAACACAGATATGCTTAATTGTATTTTCACATGTAATCTCATAACTGCAGCTAAGCACTTGCTAAAGATGTTGAACAGGGAAGGAATTTACACTGTAGTCTACTAGCATTATGCAGGTGTTCATATTTGTAAAATTTGTAGAGAACAAGCATTTGTGAGAATTACTTTAGTTAAAATTATGAATATACCTTGGGTAATGAGTAAAACTGTTATTTAAAATGCATTTTAGGATGTCTTCAGTGTGAAGGATGTTGATATATTTGAATGTTACAAATTATGAATTTTTAAATGATACTGTTACATAATTAGTGCAAAGTATTTTACATGAGGATGTCGCACATTTCAATAAATGTTTCTATTTTCTTAAGTTTGCCTCTAATTTATTTTTTAAAAATTTTAAAATATAACCCAGAACCATACTAGCAGAATGTGTGACTGCAATTCACAAGAGATCTGTAATTCTGGATGCAGTCTGTATTTAGCACAGGAGGCTGCTTGCACGGTGCCAAGGGCAGCATCTAGGCCGAAATGGAGAACAGTGGTGACTCTCCCCGTGATGAAAAGCATTTGTTATAAGCTTGAGTGGACTGGGCTGTGCTGGGAGAAGACAGCTAAAATATCTTGTGCTGATCAGATGACAACCATTACGAAAGACACAACTGCCCATAAATATCTGAGGAGAGAAAAAAATACATGCTGTTATAGTAAATAAGAGAGCAATGCTAGTCAGTTGAGTAAAGACAAGCAGCTTCTCGAGCTCATCTCCTGTCTTCAGGCTGCAGTATAACCTCTCATATACCAGTCAACCTGAAATGGAGCTTTTCTCCGTAACTGGTTGGTTGTCGGGGGGAGGCTTTGCATTCCGCCCCCC